GCACTGGATAGCTGGTCAATCACAGCACACCTTGCTTTTCAGACTGATGAGCTTTGTAAAAATCGACACGTTTCAGAAAGGCGGGGCATAGAGGAGAAACAATAATGTACAGTATGTGGAAAATAATGTGTTTTTTTTACTTTAAACCGCATAAACACATTTCATTACACCAAATACACAAAATAATGTTCTTTTTAGCAGCATCATATGACCCCTTTAAATATGACGGTAAGTTCATGACTCAGGCAGTATAACAAAATCCACTGCATGAGTTTAACAGTAAACACTTTGTCAATTACTAAATTACACAATAATGAAGAAATAATAGAGAAAAAGCCCCTGCTAATGCATTCTTTTTTTCTTAATACACATTTCTGGTCTTATTGTGCATGATTTATTGGAGAATATTATTGCAAAGGAACACATACACCACCTCCAACCTCTGACTTGCTTCTGTTAACACCCACTTTTCACAATTTCTGATGGATAAAATCAAGTTGTGTCTTGCATTCTTTAACTATAATTTCCATACTATCCTGCATTAATTTAATAATGCATAAATAATAGAAGTACAATGCGTTGCTAACTGTATTTCATGTTTAGTTGCATGACTCTAAATCACACATTAGACAGAATATTTTATGATTATAGTAAAACTAGGTGGCACTGCAGTCTTTAGTCTGTTTCTGAGCCATAATCTCACGAGGAACTTTAAAAATCATGAGTCCAGTAGTTTGGTGTTAGTACTGCTAGTCGGCATATGCATATGCAGCGCAGTGCCTTGGAAAAGTGCAAATATTTAACCACAAAATGCAACATTGCAGTAACAAACCGAAAATATCCTAATGTTAATGTTTAGATGCAATCTAAAGATTCAAAACAATATAAAACAACAATACTTGAATGTACTGTAAGTGAATATGAAGCCAGATGTAACTGTGGAATGAGAGCACCCTCTAATGGCACAATATTTCCTTTTTTCCTTTTCCACATCACCTAATACCTGCATAACGCTCTTCTCACATTATAATAGTAATAATAATAATAATTATATAATATTATTTTTAATTATATTAGCTAAGAGCGCAGTGAATATGTGCAGCAGAATTTTTGTATATTTAATTACAAGTAAATTAAATAAATTCAGTCTTATGGAATCATTTCTCCTCCTCTGTAATTTTTCAGTTGTTTGCTTTTCAAATTGTTTTTTTAAAGCTTGTTGAAAATGTTGTGATTATGAATCAACATGACTATAATAATAAATAATAATACTATTTTTTAAATATATATTAAACAAAAAAGGAAATATTACTATTGTAATATTTAACTAAAATCTAGTATTTAAGAAAAATATGATCATAATTTTATTTTACAATTCAACTGTTTTTTTATTTTTATTTAGAAAAGCTTGTTTGTTGGGCTGCATATTTTGGTCAAAAATGTTGTGATTAAAAATCAATATGATGATAATAATTTTTTACATTATTAAACAAAATAAGAAATATTAGTTTTTTATTGCTATTGCAATAATTGTGAAACATCTAGTATTTAAGAAACACTACAATTTAATTTTAAAGTATAACTGTAAAATTACAATATTAATACCAATATTTATAGCTGACTTTGTTATACACTGTGGCATTTACTGCTGTTTGAGTGGATCTGAGACAAACACCAGATCATGAGCTACACACATGTAAATGATCACCATACTGTGCTTTGTAGTTTCTCAAATCAAACTGCCGATCTCAGCTTCTTGTCTGTGTGATGTCACAAAAACAGGCCCCGCCCACGATAGTTTGATTGACAGTGGCGTTTCAGCACAGACTGGACTGGTGTCTTACCTCAGACCCGCCCTGAGTGAGCTGTCATCAGTCCGCCATTGTTTCACCGCCGGAGCAGATGTAGACAAGAATGACTCCTAAGCGATTGAGGTGTTCTTTTGTTGGATATAATAATCAGTGTTGGGCTAGTTACTCAAAGAATGTAATATATTACTCATTACTGGTTACTCCTTTCAAAAGTAATATTGTTACTTTACTTATTACTTTCTGGCAACAGTAATTAGTTACACTACTAGTTACGCCCCACAGAAGTTGTAACTGTGTATCTTCCACATAAAATTCTTCTAGAATGTTACTAACAACATATTTCTGCCTCATCATTTGACCAAAACCCACACTGGATCGCAGTCAGAAGTTATTACAAACACTCAATAGTGATTGATAGTGACATTCAAGTAGAAGTGTTGTATTAATCTCATTAATTGTCATGTGTAGCTTGAAGCTTTCATTATGTATTTTATCAAATCACATAAGTTTGTACACTCTCAGAAAAAAAGGTACAAAAGTTGTCACTGGGGCGGTACCTTTTCAAAAGGGACACTTTTGGACTTTTTAGGTACTAGTATGTACACTTTAGGTAGTTAGGTAGGGGTAGGGGTAGGGTTAGGGTTAACCCTAACCCTAGGATTAGGTAGTTAGGTTATAATTAAAAGATTTTTAATCACCTTTAATTCCCTAAAGAATCATATCAACTTGGGCATCCGATGACTCCTTTAACATGTACTTTATTAATATTTACTTTGCCTGTAATAAAATCTAAATAAATAAAAAAGAACAATTTGTCAGAGGATACTGTCTACTGTCTATCTCACCTGTGGCCAGAGCTTCCTCTCTGTCGGAGTCGTCGTCTGCTGGCTGCTGGATGTTCCACATCCTCCATGTCTCTGAGTCGTAACATGTCCATATGACTGCTCTCGGTGAAGTATCTGGGAATGAAGCAGGCTTTGCCCCTCTTGAAGATGTCCTGGAGGATGTCGTCTGTGCGCACCTCATCATGCATGTTCAGGAAGACAGCCACACGCTGGCTGGACAGGTATTTGGGATGCCTGAACAACTAAGCATACGTTTGGATAGTTGTTAATAAACACAAATGATATTTACAATTGTTCATAGCTTATTTGTAACATGATTAACATGAACTGCAAGAATTACGATTACGCAGTCGTATATTGCTTAATCTAGGATATGTAATTACGTGTCTGTATTAACATAATTAATGTAATAAACAAAAACACCTCAATATGAAACAAGTATACTGATATTTTTTAGCTGATTAGGAGTAAAAATATAACCAAAGCACTTTCCACACACCTGCAATTGAAAACCGTTTTGGGATTAAGAGTATGAACATTCACACATGAGGGTTAATAATCTCTAAAGCAGGGCTTTCAATCTTTTAAAATGCCATAGACTAATACATATTATCATAATCGTGCAGGGGATACCCATCCTTAAATTTCAGAGGAATCTATACAGTTTCTTGTATAAAGACAGTTTATACTCTCAAAAATAATATTAAAAATGCGTAACTATTATTTTAAATTGAAAATATTTAGTTTGTATTGTAGCATAATTTTTTCCCTGCTCATTGCTGTACTGTTAATATAATATTATTGTATGTATTATATTATTTATCTGTTGAGTTATTTAAATATAATTTTTATTCATATATTTATCCATTTACTTATTTCAATATATTTTTATTTTTAATTGTTAATTTATTTATATTTAAATAAATTTGTACACCGTTTTTCCTGTTTCTATTGTTACATTAAATTTTTTTCTACTCTCTACTGAACTATTGCATGTAATGTATTATAATAACATATTAAGTATCTGTTGACTTGATTATTAATTTTGTTTACACTGTTTCCCTTACAGAAATGCAAAAATAGAAGAAGAGACCAGGGGCCTGTACCATGAAGCTGGATTAGCTGGCTAGCCAGGTAAATTTCAGTTTAGTTTGCACCAATCCTGGGTTTTAGGTTCCATGAAAGTGACTTGGCTTTTAGCTGCGTTCATTGCCTTAGTAACTTACACTCCACGGCTAACCTGCTCTGGGGCAGGTTATGTTCCGAGTTAGAGATCGCAAACTGAAATTGGACCAATCAGATGTGAGCAAAGTGACACATGTCAGACACAAAGTCACTCCCCCGGTTTATCTTGCTCCAAATTAAAGGTCACTAGTACTACAAAAAATTGTCTGGCTTTAATGATAATTACTTAGATTTTTTTTATGATTTATATAATTATATGATTCATATTATTATTAATCCATTACACACAAGCAATTTTAGTTTAACAGTTATTATAAATCATTTATTTTAAATGAATGTTAATATATACAGATCGTATGTATTATAAATAAGTTGCAGAATCAATAGATAGTGCTTTAAAAATGACTACATGTGCCCTTATGTTTGAGTCTCTATCGCTGTATGTTTCCAACTATATAAACTAATTTAACAAGTTTCACTTGTGACTGCACTGATAAAGCAAGATAATTTCTTTAATTTGTCCTCTTTCATGAACAAGTACTTTTTTCATTGTAAATACATTTAAATTCATCATATTCTTCAATCTCTTAACCTATAGCAAAACCTTTAACATTTAACTAAGGCTCGTGATTGGCTGTTCGCCAGTGATGTCACACATTTATGTGCACATGCTCCACAAACTCAGGATCAAAGCCTGAGTTGACAAAGAAAGTTGATGATCAGCATCATGGTACCAATGGTACCAAATTGGAGTGGTTTGGCTTTGTCAACTCGAAACTAATTCTGTACCTCTGAATTTGTTCATCTTGTTCATCTGTAGGCCCCAGGATGTAAAGACACTCCAAAATATTGTGCAGAAAATATTCTGGCTTTTTTATATCCAAAATCTTAAAAAGTAATGTGTGAGTAGAGAATGTGAAATTAGAAAAAATACAGGTTTGTCAATAAATGAAAAAAAATTAAAAATATTAAAAATAATTACATATTAAACCATTATAAATAATAAATGTTAATGTATTTGGGCATATTTTTGTGATGTAATAAACACCACGTTTTAAGTGGTTAAAAAATTATCTCTTTACCTTGAGACAACAAAATAACATTTTCATGCGGGTTGTTAGGTTACTGAACTACGTACCCAGCTAATGATTTTTGGTTCCCAGAACGTTCCCAAAATCTGCAATTCTCTGGTGGTTAGCCAGGAATGTTTTCTTTACGTAAATAGAATGTTCGTTTCCGGATCATTCTCATAACCTCTTTACTCCGATATTATATTTATGCAAGTATAATCTAACTGCTGTCCCATATTACAAGGCCAGTGAAAGCTCGTTCCTCTCAGCTGACATGTCAGTGACATTTACCTTTTGCGAGACAACTCGAGACTGTCTAGTTTCACCTGTTTACTCACTCTAGCCACTCGACCCTTGATTTCTCTTCTCAAAGCTTGTTTTGCTGCACGCAGAGCTGCCATAATGAATTCGCACGGCACAAATCCAGCCAGACTGCAAACAAACACGTTAAAGGGGTCATGCGATTTCAATTTTTCCTTTCTCTTTGGAGTGTTACAAGCTCTTGGTGCATAAAGAAGATCTGTAAAGTTGCAAAGACTAAAGTCGATATCTGCTTCGTCATGGCTAGAGCTGATCCCTGCTGGTCGCTGAGGGAATACATCAACTTTGCACTGTGGATCGCCGGATCGGCTTTCACCGTGGACGAAGGATTTATATTACTATTAATCCATCACACACAAGCAATTTTAGTTTAACAGTTATTATAAATCATTTATTTTAAATGAATGTTAATATATACAGATCGTATGTATTATAAATAAGTTGCAGAATCAATAGATAGTGCTTTAAAAATGACTACATGTGCCCTTATGTTTGAGTCTCTATCGCTGTATGTTTGAGTCTCTATCGCTGTATATAACAAGTTTCACTTGTGACTGCACTGATAAAGCAAGATCATTTCTTTTATTTGTCCTCTTTCATGAACAAGTACTTTTTTCATTGTAAATGCATTTAAATTCATCATATTCTTCAATCTCTTAACCTATAGCAAAACCTTTAACATTTAACTAAGGCTCGTGATTGGCTGTTCGCCAGTGATGTCACACATTTATGTGCACATGCTCCACAAACTCAGGATCAAAGCCTGAGTTGACAAAGAAAGTTGATGATCAGCATCATGGTACCAACAAAGCCGGATTGGAGTGGTTTGGCTTTGTCAACTCGAAACTAATTCTGTACCTCTGAATTTGTTCATCTACCATCATGGTAGGCCCCAGGATGTAAAGACACTCCAAAATATTGTGCAGAAAATATTCTGGCTTTTTTATATCCAAAATCTTAAAAAGTAATGTGTGAGTAGAGAATGTGAAATTAGAAAAAATACAGGTTTGTCAATAAATGAAAAAAAATTAAAAATATTTAAAATAATTACATATTAAACCATTATAAATAATAAATGTTAATGTATTTGGGCATATTTTTGTGATGTAATAAACACCACGTTTTAAGTGGTTAAAAAATTATCTCTTTACCTTGAGACAACAAAATAACATTTTCATGCGGGTTGTTAGGTTACTGAACTACGTACCCAGCTAATGATTTTTGGTTCCCAGAACGTTCCCAAAATCTGCAATTCTCTGGTGGTTAGCCAGGAATGTTTTCTTTACGTAAATAGAATGTTCGTTTCCGGATCATTCTCATAACCTCTTTACTCCGATATTATATTTATGCAAGTATAATCTAACTGCTGTCCCATATTACAAGGCCAGTGAAAGCTCGTTCCTCTCAGCTGACATGTCAGTGACATTTACCTTTTGCGAGACAACTCGAGACTGTCTAGTTTCACCTGTTTACTCACTCTAGCCACTCGACCCTTGATTTCTCTTCTCAAAGCTTGTTTTGCTGCACGCAGAGCTGCCATAATGAATTCGCACGGCACAAATCCAGCCAGACTGCAAACAAACACGTTAAAGGGGTCATGCGATTTCAATTTTTCCTTTCTCTTTGGAGTGTTACAAGCTCTTGGTGCATAAAGAAGATCTGTAAAGTTGCAAAGACTAAAGTCGATATCTGCTTCGTCATGGCTAGAGCTGATCCCTGCTGGTCGCTGAGGGAATACATCAACTTTGCACTGTGGATCGCCGGATCGGCTTTCACCGTGGACGAAGCGGAGTCCAGCCCGGGGTCATCACATGTGGTTGCCACAAGCCCACCGTCCGCTCCTTCGTCGAATACGCCGGCCGCGCAGTTCTCAAGCCGCCGGCCTCCGCTCACTCTAGCCCGCCGTGTGTTTCGTCGTGAAAGCGAAACTACTTTGTTTGGCCTTCCAAAAGAGGACACAACGCGTAGATTAGTCGTCCTTGAGTGGGCGGGGCTAGTGTAAAAATGGATTAGTTGTCCTGAGTGGGCGGAGTCAGTTTACATGCCCTTTGAGGAAATGTAAACATTCCAGGGAAAAGCCTTAAAGGGACAGTCTTTTGAAAACTTGCTCATTTGTTGCAAACTCGATTGACTTTCTTTTTATTCCGTGGGACCAGTGTTCGAACTATACCGTGGACTTTGGGGGAGCCCACTTGTTTTTGTGGGACGCAGCATAACATTTTTAAGTTGCCCTCTTTTTAGTATACTATTAAAGTGACTGATCAATGAAAGCCTAATTTTGCTTAAACATTTGGTATCAATAAAGAGATATGAGAGAATTTTAACTTTAAAAATCTTACTTTGTTTCATTAATATAATCATAATACAAAGCTTGTTAAAGGTAATGTTTGCTTGTTATTCGACTAAAATGCCTTTTGCATTCAAGTTAGCATATTAAATATTAGAAAGCATATTTTACTCATACTTTTTTATTACATACTTTACATATTTTATTCATACTTTAATGTTTCAAATAGTTTTTGTGAAAATAAAATGTCAAAATATGGGTGAAATAATGTTCCATCGTCATTCAGATATATTCATGTAAAAAATAAAACAACATACGTATTCTGACCTTAACAAAATTTATAAAAGAGTAAGTGATCATTCTAAATTTTGTTATATTTGAGTTGATTAAAAATTATTGTTGACAAATGGGTAAATATTTGTTTCAATGATCGTGGCAAAGATCCTTAAATCTTCTTTTAATGTCATCTAATGATTCTTGTTCTAAATATGTCTGACAAGATTTTTTTGGTATATGAACTATTGTTACAATGAAGGACTAGAATTGGTGATTGTGAGCCGCCAATAAAAAAACGAGTAAGAAGAAAAAGGAGAAGGACTAGAATTTAACAAACAAAATGTAATAATAATATAAAATTTTGCTTGTGTTAAATTCTAGTCATTCAATAAATTTAATATATTATTATTATTATTATTAATTA